ACGGTTAATATACCATCAGACATATGTATAAAATGCTTGTAAGAATTGTCATATCTGAATCAACAGTCCATTAAATACAGTGCCTTGTTTACTGAGGATGGCAAGAAAGGTTGCAAAACACCCAAACAATAATTATAAAGTAATCAGACTCCTGGAGAAGCTCAATTTTGAGGGCAATTAATAGATCCCTTCTCTATGAACTTGGAGGTTTGATATTCTTATCTATTTCTATTCTATCTAAAATAGTTATATCCATGATTAAAAGGGAAAACAACTGACATCCAATGCCTTTCACTTAGTTAGTTTTGAGACTCATTTACAGACAGATCTTCTCTTTCAAAATAGAGTGGAATGTTTAGCTTCCTTTTTCTTTTGTGCTATCATGGTGCTACTTAAAGTGGAAGCAAACTCACTAATTTCCATATTCAAAACGTTGAAGCAATCAGAAAACAGTGGGCTGGAGTAGGGGTGAATTCATGGCAAGAGTGAGAGTTGAAATCACTTCCATTTAGGACAGTTTTTCATGTATGAACACAGTTTTCCAGAGAGGTTTCTGTCAAGCAAAATAATTATTCACCTAGAAAAAAGTCACATATGGTAGAAGCAATTAATATAAGGAGGGAGAAAATGCAAAGGGTTTCTGTCACCTGCCAGACTCTGGGTTCAGAGTCACCTAGTTCAGCAGAAGGTTCTTCATTCTTTTAGAGAAAGGAATAAAAATTTGAGGTAAGAACGGGTTTATAGAACCATAGAATGGTCAGCCTCTCTTTCTAATCTGCCTGAGGCTGCTGATGGCAACCTGAGGAGCTGGGGCTTCTAGAGACACATTTAATGCCGTGTGTCGGCATGCTTCTGAAGGTATTATCCCTTCTCTCTCAAATTAGAGGACAAACTTGCAACAGCTACCCGTAACAGTAGTTACAGGGCTGCCAATAGTAAATTGACCAGCCAGGAAATGCTGTTTCTCAACAAGACAAGCTGTTATGGAGAAGCTGATGTTAGCTGCTGCCCCACTGTGGGGTAAAGATTTTTGTCTCCTGCTAAATTTGTGCCCCAATGTGAGCTGGGACTTATAGTTTCACACAGAATTTTTTTTGTGAGCTGATACAGCTCTGCCCAGATGATACCCTTGGAAGTGATTCCTGCTGGGCCCTTCTGGCTGACTTCCAAACCCTGCTCCTCTGGCTGTCTGTCTGAAAGCTTTGGGAGTGACTCTTGCAATTCTGCTTCCGCAGCTTGTCCTAGATTTTCCTGTTGTGCTCCAGACAGCAGAGCACCCTTGTTTAGTTCGCCTTTAGCAGACTGCCTCTAGGCTGTGTCAGTAGTGCTCATGATCAAGTCACCCTGAGTGACCCCTCTTTCAAAGTGTTTGGTCTATGTTGTGTCATCTGTTTCCTCATTGCTATCCTAGTTCTTCTGGTCAATCTACTTCCCTAAATCAATTGAATTCTCCTATAAATACATGAGTGATCATATTCTTAAGGAAGGATTGTTCCAAGTAGGTAGGTCTTGTGGCAGATATCAAAATAAATACACAGTTCACACAAATGGTGAATACTGCACTAAATCAGAACGTTATGCACACATGCTGTCGCTGAATGGAAACATTATGCAGTGACAGGTATTCCCTGTCAGTTCTCAGGTAAATGTAATTCACAAATTCACTCACTGGCTGAATGTGAAAAAAGTCTTAAAGGGTAATTTGCAAATTTGAAAAAAGCAATTAATGGCAATAGAGTTTTCCTGTTATTTTAATCCATATTTATGATAAAGAGCTGAGAATTCTCACTAAGTAACTTTGTCCACAACTGTAGGAATTACCGCTTTCACGTACTTGAAAATAACACCAAGGTAGAGCTTAACCTTGAACAAGTATATATAGAAGATTCTCTTGACAGGACCAACATCTAGAGATTGGGAGGACTGGACGTGGCCCTAGAATATCTGTATGGTTATTGACAAATTCTGTCCCAAATTCCAGTACAGCTGTGGCCATTCAGGGCTGGGATCCTGAGCTCTTTAGAACACCTCATCTCCAGTCAGTGCCCTTCTCCCTTCCACCGGAATGAAAGTGTTAATGGTCCTTCTCTCTCACCTTTAATCTGTCTTTTTGCCTGTTGGCACTGTGTGATCTTCAGGGAAAAGCCCGTTTTATATTTGGTGTTTGAAGAACTCCCAGCCTCAGACAGCCCTGATCTCAGCTGTAAAATGTAGGTCTACTGGAATACAGACAATAAAGAGCTGACTGCTAAAGTATGCAGATGAGTTGAATCCCTGTGGTCTCTACAGGTGTCCCTGTGAGGCAGGTGAATCTGACTGAAGATGAAATAACAGGAAAATCAGAAATCTAGTGTCTATTTGTTTTGCCAAGACTTGCTTAAATTGTAAGTTGCAGTGCTTTGAAAGCATGCTGAGTGGAGCAACGTGCTATTTTTTAAGTGCTGTAGGGCATTCTTCTAACCGTTTGAGGAGAAAGCACTACATATTCTAAAAAAAATATTGTATCCATTCTTGTAATGTAGGTTCATTAGGCATCAGATTGATTTATTGTATTGTTTCCTTTATAAATTATTTTCATTATGTTTTATCACAGTACATGACTACTGCCCTAAGGGAATATGCAGGAATGAGCTGAGCGGCAAGCGTAATAGACTGCTTTAATTAAAATAGTGTAATGCATATTTCAGCGCTATTAACAAAAACAAAATTGATTTTGTTTTCTGGGTAATTGAATATATTAAAGCCCAGGTGCTGTACTTCTATTGTTTAACCCTCTGAGTTCAGCTTCATTTGATGCTTTGAGCAGGAAATTCACTTGTTATCAAGAATTTCATAAGGGGAATTTTCTTCTCTGCCAATTGCATTTCCTTCCTTCTTTCCCCCATCTAGTCCCCTCGGACTGAGGAACAGGAAAGCACAAACATGAATTTCAATAGTGAAAACCCTTGATAATTTCCAGTGGCTTCGAGTGAGCTACAGACAGTGAGGACACTGATCCATGATAAAGAAAAGTCCATTATTCCTCTGCACTTTTTAACCTGGTGTTCTGTGGAGACAGCAGCAGTCTGCCACCAAATTCCATTAGTTAATGAACACTTCAGGAATTTGTCCATCATAAGAAAGACCCTTTAAAATTACAGTCAATCAATGACACCTACGCTTCTAAGTGTCTTCCTTTTCTCCTTTTTCTCTTGATTTATATCAGCTATGAGTCTTTTTTATTTCCTTTACCCTCCAGATACCGAAAGTTTACCTTTTATCAAGAAGATGCATTATATTAGTGACATGATGGACACGGGCAAAATCAGGTTAATGATTTCTGAGTAGAGCAGTCAAATGGAAGGAAGCAACCAACCAAGCTAGAAAATGAACAGTGTCAGGGAGCTGGGCTGCATGACCCATCTGTCTGTGAAAAGATCCATTTTGCCTAACTGTTGTCACCTGCCATAGCCTAAATACCAGAGCCTCCTTCACTTTCATCTGTGGAGTTTTCACTGGAAATTACTGCTTTGCAAGGAATATTGTAAAAAGCAGGGTGTTTCTGGTTCTGCTCTCATGATTCCCTGGCTTTTTATCACTTGTTAGGATAGCATGTTGTATTTCAAATTAAAGGGTTCCTAAATATCTGGTCCCTGAGTCTCTCCCACTTTCACCCTTGCTCTCTATGTCAAGGAAGACACCCATCCTCAGGAGTCTTGCTGGTGCAGTCACTACAGGTAGTTGCAGCTGGGAAAAGGAAAAGAGGAACATTGTCAGACACACATCTTTTCTAGTCTCCACAAAGCCAATTGTAAAAGGGTCGTGGCAAGTGGACAATGTTGGCAGGACTGAAACATCATTACATTCCTCTGGGGGGATCACTGAGGAATAGTTTCTGTTTGTTGCAGCCCAGGGTACTGGGAATCAAAACTGAGAAGAAAGATTCTCCTCAGCAGCTGTCATCAGATCTGAGGTGCGTACTACTTATGGCAGAGATGCAGTATACCTGGAAGATCTTTTTTCCCACTTTATGAGGTGAAAGATTGTGGTTTTCCAAAGGTAAGATTCCCATTGACAGCAACAGGAGGTAGCGCTCTATTTTATAAAGCCTGCCCTATTTTCCCCTATTTTCCAGCCATATGCAACTTGCTGAAAGGGAATGGTATTGTGAAACTAAGAGATAGTAACTGTAATTTTAGTTATTTCTTTTTAAAGAAAAAAACCCAACAAAGCAAAACACAAAACCCCACTCCAACCATACTGAAGCAGCATGAACTATGGTAATGTCTGTCTGGGATATATATAATTTAGGAATAAATCAAATGGCTGAACTGGAAAAAAAAGAAAAAAGTAAAAAACTCAGAAATTCAAAATAAGTAAAAGCCAGACTGCACAAAATCAGTTTCTGCTGATTCATCCAGTTACTCTGGGACACTCAGACAACACTAATTATTGTGGTAGATGGAAGACCTTCTCTATAAATCCTGTACCCCTTAAAATAAAATATGGGTATCTTCTTTTCCCTATCAAAGATTTTCTGTTCAAACTCATTTACTCAACAAGAGCCTTTTAAAAATGATTGTCCTGCTTTTATAACAGAAGAGTAGGCCATAATTAAACTGGTGAGTCATCAGTCCACTGGGTTTCATAGGAAATCCCTTATTACTTTAAAGCACCTGCTGTAGCTCTTTGACTCATTTCCCATAGAAGAGTTGCAGATGCAGATTGATTCCAAATAGTTCCCATAAAAGAACAGACCAGTGAACTGGTTTTACATAAATTTCAGTCTTTATAGTTTCTATTCCTATGCAATTAATGATATCTGGCTGAATCCCCAGTTACTTCTGGGTTGTGATTTATAAAGAACAAGTCTAGATTCAGACATTTCAAAAATGATTTCCCACATTTTAATGTTATTAGCTCACTTCTTACAGTGTATCTCTCCATGTTTCTTCTTCTTGGAACAGGTCAGCTTTAATCAGTTACAAGATGTGTTTAATTATTAACAGGAATGTGCTGAATTGTAGTGAAAAGTATTTAAATACTAAAACATGACAAATGACATGTATGTTGGCTATTTTTCTATTTGGATAAATGGTTATTAACTAATTAACTTCTCCATATTGAATTTAGTCAATACATTAAAACAATCTCTTAACATTCTAATATCAACATATGGACTGTAGATACCAGCATTAGACAGATAAAAATTACTGCTTGCTCATTTGCTCTATGAACTTTTCAGAGAAAAGATTTGTAGGAAACAAGAGAAATGACAACAATTAATTCAGATTTAGTGAATAGTTTACATCAGAAAAAAATAGGGACAGTATTCGGAAATATGCCCAAATATTACCAATACGTCAGCAGTTTTCAAAACTGGTTTTTAGGTGCTGCTCGAAATAAACAATAGTGATCAAATAATCCTAAACAAGATGTGATAATTTAAGTATCTTAAAAATATTTCGGAATAATGAAAATGATATTTTCACTTATAAGAACATTATAAAGCCAGGATGAAGACAGTTTAGCATTGGCAGAAGAAACAGGTCTTCATAATTCATGAACAAACACAATTTGTACCATACCCTCATTTAGATTGCAGTATTTGTGTTCATTATAAATACTTTGAAATAAAGGTGTAAGTGCCAAACTTTAAAGCAATTGCTTAGAAAATAGGTGTTCTTACTGTGAAAAGAGGTGCAAGTAAAAATGGGATCAAAAGGGTTGCATGAAAAGAGGTTTATTAGTTAATTAGTTATTAGAAAAATTAGTTTAGAATTGATAAAAACCCAAACGGTGAGCAACTGCCAGGGGTAATGCATTAGATTTACAAAATGCAGGGTTAAAGACAGTCATTTTTTACATTTAGAGTTTAACATTTCACTTCATTTTGGATGTAAAATAGAAGGGCTTTTTTTAAGGAATATCATAAAATAGTTTAACTCAAAGATGTGGTCTTGGAGCTAAACTTCTGCACTTTTTTTACCAACCCATGTTTGAGAAGTGTAAAAGATAATTCAGTTTGTTCAGAAACACGCTCAAACCTTTCTGGGTCAGCTCTTCACCTTTGCCAGGGAACATTCCCATTGAAGTCAACCTTTCATGGTTTCTCTTCTCTGCTACCCAGCTCCGGTGTATTCTATAAGAAAAAAAGTCCTCAGAAGTCTGTCTGCGGTGTGTTCTATGAACAATAGCTACAAGGAATCAAAAAAGGAAGCAAATATATGAGCATCCCAGGTTGCTTTAGCAGGCTCACAGCTTCTGTCACCACTGAAAGGGAACTGGAATTTGCTCTGAAGCAGCAGCCAGCCTTTAATGTTATGCTTCACTAGAAATAAATCATATAACAAACCCGCATATTTACCTTAGCTTTTTTGATTTGAAATGGTACATTCTTGCCATTTATCTTTTGTTTGCATTTTTTTTAGGTGTCAGTCTTGGAAAATGTTGTCCATTGGCAAAGTTCACACAGGAGTAATCCTGCTAATCACACAGTCCCAAAGGAAGAATATGGACAGTGGCCAACAGACAACGTATACTATTAGGTATGTGTTCAAATCTTTGCAGTCCCCTTAGCCAGTAAAGTCTTCATATTTTTTTTTTAAATTGTATTTGCACAGGTTGTTAAGTGCCCAACACAATGGGTACCACTCCTTGTGGAATCATTACTGCTATCGCGATACGTTACGTTTCCATTACAAAGACCTGTAATCAAGGATTAATAATGTGATCGTTAAGGGTTCTCCTACCAGATGAGACATATTTTCTACTATTCTGTGCCATTACTGAACCTTGGCCTGCCTTTCTGTCAGCCAGCCTTGCTTCTCCCAAGTCAAAATGAAATGGCAAACAGAAAGTGTCTGCTACTCACAGACAAGCTACTAATGTAACTTAATTTTCCATAAATAGAGTCTGCATCATCTACGTTCAGCTATTTCTGTCTGCTATTAAGTCGCACATACTGGCTTGCTCATATATAGCTTCTCTGAAGTTAAATCCACTCCAGCTAAATATGATTTTGAAAGTTGAGGTTTATGTAGTAGTTTTGGCTCTGAGCCAGAGAAGGAACTGGACAGCTGGAACAAGAACTGATCTTGCCATGTATTCAGATATAACTTCTGTGAAAACCTATAAGATTTTTCTGGATCAAATGCAGAGAGAACTGAAAAATAATCACAAAAAACTGTCTCTCAGAAAACTGAATGAAAAATACTGATTTTTTTCTTATTAGCCCTCTCAGTCAGTCAAGGATGAATATTCTTCCCCTCCCCTTCTATTTTTTTAAGGAGAGTGAATTCCAATCTTGACTCTACCATTATGGATCAGGCCCTTATGAAATTAGACCATTAAAATAAATTTACTCAATATTTTAAGAATCCAGTGAATCTCTGGTCCTTAGCATAGTGGTACTTATGAAGGAAATTAGGACACAGCTAGATCCTATGACCTTGTGTTACATTTTAAAGGTCAATTTAAATCTTAGGCTACGAGTCTAGAAAAGATGTGGTGGATTTATCCCGTTCATGTCTAGGCTAAAGTTGAGATCAACCCTATGAATATAATTTCTGACACATTTATTAATCTGTTCTTAAAGCCATGGTGCTCCTACAATCTTTTTAGAGTAGTTGATTATCTATTAGCCTTTCAGGTGAAATATTTTCCCAGGCTAGCCTGCATCTTGTTTATTGAAGAGGTTGTTATTATTTTTTATCTCATTCCCAATACAGTATTATCTTCTCCACTGAAGCAAAACTTCTATGTATGTATGTGAACTCTTATGATTGTCCCTTCTTTTAGACGAGCTCAATTCTTTAACTCTTGTACCTGTTTGTATTTTTTGCTTTGCTTTGAAGTCTCTTTGCTTGCTTCACATTTCCTTTTAATACTCCCATGAGATAGCTTGTGCTCCCTGTCAAGAAATCAGAATCTGTCCAGAGCTTTTATCACACCACCTTTGCAAACATCCATTTTATGTCTGGAAATATATAAAAACAAAAGATGCAAAGCTGAATGAAGAGCAAAAGTAATAAGAAATAAAATCCTGCATTCCTTTCTTCCTCAAACAATTCAAGGTATGTTACATATAAATGGGGGTGAAAAATTATTCTGATTATGTCTTAATCTCTTTTTACTTGCTTTTATATTTTTCATCATTGTTGTGAGACTTTTACCCCCTTTTCAGGCTTTTTAGTAAATAAAAAGGCCTGCAGCAGTATAAAGCAGTCCTAAATACCAAGATGAAACCAGTAAACCAAAGTATTTTTGAGAAACAAAGTAGGAGACAACTGTGTGACACAAGTCTTCTTATAGTTGCATCAGGAAGCCTTATGGATTCAGGCTACTGTCTGAATGGTGGTGTGACAACTATTCCCCTGATGACCAGAAGCTGTCAGGGAAGAAAGGATGTGTAAATCTGTCCACTCTTCATTATCTTGGCTCTTAGTTCTCTCATTGCTTTTAAGAAATACAGTCCAACATGTCAGCTACGGTATTCTAATACATAGACAAAAAAATAAATGATTCAGTTCAGGAATATGAACCATAAGGCTTATCCCTCATCCCGTCTAGAAATTCATATGGAAATACATCATTATTTTAGCTAATACTTAGTTGATTAAATTAAATTCTTAGTAGTATAACATACAGAAAGTATGTTTATTTGTTCATACATTTGGAATAATTCTATCTGTTTTATCTGATTGTGTTCTCACAAAAAGCAATTTGCACTGTCCTTAATCAAAAAAGTAAAGAAAATTAGCTGCGTTAACATAATTTCTAAAAGAAGCTCCTTTTTTTTGCATATTTTTAGGTGTTGGGTATTTTTTTGTGTTTAGCTTTTAGTTTTTGTACAATGTATGTATTTTTTGGAGTGTGGTGGAACAAGTAACTGCTCTACAACTGAAAAAGAAGGAGGTATTTAAAAATGGAAAGGTATGTCCTAGCAATGTATTATCTAGAGGTTTAGAAAACTGATTCAATTTAAATGAAATGACAGAAAGCAAATCTGTCAACATATCTGCGCTCTAGTGCTTTTCTGAGTCATGAAACTCCCAAGCTATAAAGAAAAGTTACAAATGAGACACAAAGAGAAGAAAAAACATTGAGCAATTCTTTAGAGACACAGATTCAAATTTTACTTCTTGATAAAATATGATTCATTGCAGGCAAATTACTACCCATCACGATTATCTATATTGTGACCAATCATAGGGAAATAGCACAGGGAGAGCGTTGTAGTTCAGATTACACCCACTCCTTCTGTATTTAATGTACAAATATATGAAAACAATTACGCACTAATGACATATAAAATATTGAATTGAACCCAGTCATACATAATCCAAGATAAGATACCAGGCATGTGAAGAAATTTGATGAACCAGTAAGTACTTCTATCTACAGCTAATGCCCGTTTATCTGTAAGCCCAACATGACGTGACACGATTCCTAAGACCACTTGCTTTGTTACATCAATTTTCTCAGCTTGACCTTCAGCAGATTAACACATTCATTCTAAGAAAGATGAAGGAATGTAAAGAAGAGTTGCGTGTGTGCATTAGAGAAAAATAACACATTGTACAAGGATTAAAAGCAATAGATTCCCCTTAAGTGTATAATACACGATATTTTATCATTTCTTGCAGGGCTGGAACATTCACAGATTTTTATCTTTTTGGTTTGGACCATGTCATTACAAAGAATATGCATTTCACCTGAGATTAATCAGGTTTGTGCTAATTTACCTGCCCAGTCTTAGACCATCTCACCCACATTCAAAACCAGATGCGTCTTAGAAAGGAGAAAAACACAGTAGAAATTATTTCCTTAAACTGTGATGTTCCTTCTGTTTTCAGATTCAAGTTGTTTTGTACTTGTACAAGGAAACACAGCCTTTTGCTCCTGTCTTACCCCCGTATTTCTGTGGCTTCCAGCTGTAAACTTGTCCCATGTTTGTGTCCCAGATTCTTATAAATGTGTACACATATCATGTAAAACACAGTCTTTATGTCACAGTCTTGCAAAATGTGTTGCTTCGATTAAGATAGATGTGGAACCTTACAATCAGAAAGACAGAACTTGCCCTATACCCTACCAATGTGTATAATATCCTGTTTTTTAATTAGAGAGGGATGGTTTCCTCTAACATCTCACTGACAAGGATAACAAGCCTACAACTCCCTCCCTTGCAGCTCAGAGAGATAAGTATCACTGAATAGCATGGTTCTACATGACTAAAAGCAAGCTTACCAGGACTGGGGATTTAAGAAGTGGATTCCTGTCCCCTGGAACAAATTTACATCAAAATTTTGTTCAGAGCACAATGAAAACCATCTTGATATCATGAGATCTCTTCTGTACACGCTTCTAGACATAGGAAGCTTCCCAAGTGTTTGAACAGTTTTGGAGGTGGTGGCATATTTTATATTATGAGGGATAGTTCAGCTACTTTTGCAGGGCACACGTCTGTCTGGCACTTTTAACAAGTTCATCTCCATAAGGCACAAATTAACAGACAACTTAATTCTTCATCAATGGCAAGGACTGCAATTCTGGCTTGATGATACAGAAGTCATGCAGCTGGACGGGAATTCTTCTACCTGTCCTAATCTCCCGTGTATTTGAAAATAAGGGTCTCAATATTGTCCAGAAAGGTATGGAAATTGGTAGCTTTCACCTCTAAACCCCTGGAGCTTAAAGACTAAGTTTTTAGTTTTTTGCTTGAATGACAACTGAATTCCCCTACAAGCTTATTGTACTATTGTAGACAGAGTATTTATTCTAAGATGCAAAATAACTACTGAATCATTTTATGCAATGGTAGGAAAAAAAAGAAGGTAAATTGTATTCAAAGCACATAAAACACAATTAGAGATGCAGATTAGCCTTGAGGAACAAGCTCAACGAGAAACCGAATGAATCAACTTCAGACAAGTTTCACTAAGGGCTTTATGATATTCAGACTTGAGCAGCATTGCTCTTCAAGACCGACAATTAAAGAATTAAGTCATGGTACCTATTTGCCAGCTCACTCTGGCACTTCTTGGTCTTCTGGTATCATGTTTGTCCCATTTCTGTCCCAAGGATGTCAGCCAATTTTTCAATTCTCTGAAGAAGAGGAGGTGAATCATGGAGTAGGTATAAATGTAACACATGAATCTTGCAGAAACAGTTTCTATCACTTGGTAGAAATAGTCATATCCTAAATTGCTATCTATGATCTGCACTAAAACCGCAATGATTTACTCCAGATTAAGGATTCTGGTCTTTCCTTGTAAATGTATCCCTTCCTCGTGTGACCAGGTTGAGCTGCTGCTACAAGGCAGACAAGAGGGTAGAAGATTACTGCGTTCACTTTTAAAATTGTTCAAAATAAAAGTGGAAGGAACCAACAGCTTTTTCATCAACACCTGATATTTTGTTACATGGAAATTCCATTTCAGGATAAAGCGTACCTGAATGAGCCAGGTCATCCATCTATCTGATCTTCCTTGATATTTTGCTGTGAACAAAAATAAGATACCAGAATGAGCGAAATCAAAACCAGGCACAATGAAAGTTACATCATTTTGAATACAAAAAAAAAAGAAAAAAAAAAGAAGGCACAGTTAGACAGACATCACAAACTGAAACCTTTAAATTCAATTTAACAGTGCATTTTAATAAGCGACAATGCAGGAAGATAAAGAATATACTGGCTTTGCAGACCTGTTGCCTGGAAGTATCGATAACTACTACTACTTGGCTTCACAATCTGTCATATTCTGTGACAAGAGAAGCTGGCTTCGGACCACTAGAATTCACGATAACCCTAGATGATTTGGAACAACCCTTAGCTTTTCAGCCCTATTATGTTTGAAGTGGCTGATGCCTTTTGTCTTATAGCAGACTCATGTGGTTGTAAGTAGATCCTAAATTGAAAAATGTGGGTTTGAATCTGAAGTTTTCCTTGGTGTCTCTCTTTAATTTTGTTAGCAATATATTTAACAAGCTAATCTCATGGTTCCCCTCAGTTGTTAGAAAGTTTCTTTGACTTTCAACGGAAGCCTGATCAGTGACGTTAAAGGAAGTGAGTATCTGTCAACATGCTGCACATGAAAGATCTTCCCTAAAAAGATGTAGAAAAAGATCATTTGAATTCAGAAATTGGTGTCTGAATTAAATTAACAATGATTCTCACACTTAATTTGGTAGGATGGCTTCCAAAACTAAATCACATTAATGCTGAAGGTCTCCCTATTCATTTTGTTGCCTAACATCTATGCTTATAATTTTAAGACCATATAGACTGAAAGGAGAAAGACTCTACAACAAGTGCTTATAATAAACCAACAAAACATCACAAAAATGTGATGATTTCAATATTTACAACTAAATTCTGAATTCTCATGCATTCACTAATTTCAGAATAGACTGACTATCAGTCTAGACCTGAAGGGGATCTTTGAGAAACATGTACTCTTTGGGAAATTTCAAAATGCAGATGAGACACTACGGAGGGATCAAGCGTTGGGTAAATGTATGTGGCATGATAAGAAATAGAAATAGGGGCAACATTTAAAGGAGGAACACCAAATGACAAATACTTTCTGAAGTGATGAGAAACAGACCTGGACTTGCAAAATTTCTTCTGTGCCGTAAGATTTGGAGGAAGGTGTAGGCCAAAGGTTCTTGGGAGGTCTTGCTGGTAGGCATCTTAAAACTCTCATTCAAGGTCAACGCTGAAATGCTGGTATCAGAATCAGGGATGCCTGAAAACAAGAACGACACAGGACTCCGAAAACTAGAATACAAAGCAAAATAGTGAATGCTTTTTAATTTGATCTTATCAAGAAAGCAGACTGCAAAAGAAGAGCTTCCCATGGGAAGTGTATGTTTTGTCACAAGGAGATAAAGTGAGATATTTTGAAATATTAGTGCAGAGGAACTACGTCATGAACTAGCCGTAATAAAAGCCATCATGCATGTTCTGACCTTGAAAATTCCAGTGTCCACAATTGATTTCACTGCAGTACGGCTGTAATACCTCTAAAGGCTTTTACTTAAAGAATTCAAATGTAGTCTCACTTAAAGATGTTTCAACATCATCTTTATGTTTAGTTTGCTGTTCCAAATCCTTGGTACTCTAGGCTAAACCTGGCACTTTGTTACCGAGAATAAAACTTTTCCAAAATGTGAATTTGCCTTCTGATGAAGACATAACCAATGCTGATGATTTTTTTCATGTAGTCTTACTATTTTTAAACTACCTAAACAAATCCTTTAATTCAAAGAATAAAATAAATAAATATAAGACTGTTGACTGAAATGAACAAACAAAAGCAATTAAAAATACTGCTCCGGTATCTAAGGCTGGCCAGGATACTCTTTCTGAAAAACATAAAAAAAAATCATATGCAAAAAAATCACTGCCTAAATTCTCAATCTTCTTCAGGAGCACAGTTTGCTAAGGCTTTCTCTAAAGCCAGTGGAGAAAGAGTGGTACCTCCAGAGAGCTGTTCATCTATCTGACGATGAATATCTTTTTCTACTGATTATAGAGACACCCTGATACATGTACATGCCTGATATATGTTTTTTAATTAAGGGTTTGTTTTAGTTGCCTAACATAGACATCTAAGCCATTCAAGATGCTGCAGGGCACCCCATCTGACCTATTGCTGCTGATCCAGATGCCTAGATTTCCTGTATGCCCTGTGTTGTATCTGCCAGCCCCTTGCAGATGTCCTTGATACCCTAACATATCTCAAATGGTATTTGATACCTGTGTTTAGGGAAATGATTCAAAGGCTACTTATCTAAAGTTAGCTGAGGTTAATTTTTGTTTTGGAGATCATGTTTAGAAAATTTCCCCCTTAATGTATCTGGTTGATATAAACAATTTGATTTCATTTTCACATATCCTTAACCTGTAACTCTGTTTAGGTAAATTGCTAACTCTGCCACCATTACACACACAGACAGACTGTGTATGTCCTGTGTCTGTCTGTCTCTTGGCCTCACCCATGTGCAGTGGAGACAACATGACTACCTCCTTTCTCTCATTTTATGTTGCTTGTTTTGATACTAAGACCTTTGAAGTAAGGATTGTCTTTTACTTTAAGCTTCCACATGGTACTTAATAGAGGAAGGTTCTACTCTTGCTTAAAATAATGGGTGTAATATATTTAGATCTATTAATAGAAAATTGGAAAAAAAATGTATTCAAATAAGATGAACAGAATACAATATTATTTTTTTCTAGGCCAGACAGACTTTCTTCCACATCTTCATTAAGTTTCCATCAAGTTGATTAATGTAAATATTTTATTTACTTCCCAAATTACTAGCCTTCTGCCCCATGTAGTTTCATAGAACTAGCCAGTTGGTGGTTTTGGCAAGCCTAGTTCTAATTATCCTGGCTTAATATCAGGAAAATATTTACAGGAAAATTGTGTTTAAATACTGTCTTTCCTACTATTGTCTGGATGGTAAGAAAATAATGTAATGGTAAGAAATAACTAAGCACATAGCACATCTTTAATAGTAGTCTGCTCCACAATTTTTGTTAAGAATATGAACACAGATAAAAAGACTGATAGGTGCCTACCTACTTGAGTTCAAAGTTAAGCAAAACAGATCTTTGTGCCGTAGGAAAATACCAATTCTTTAGCATGCATATTTTAAGCTAGGAAATATAGTTGAAATCTGAAAATATTCAATGGAACAAATAAAAGGAAAATCAGAATACTTTTCATTTGAAATAGGATAGGAAAAATGTAGGTATTTTCACATTAGCCTGAAATGCCTGGTATCACAAACACACACAAACCTATCATTTAGGTTCAACAGTAATGTATCTTTTCTATTTACTTGCACACAGCTTTCTGGAATTTAAGGTCAAGCACTGGTATCTTTTCTTTTTTTCTTTTTTTTTTTTTTTTTAATAAACACTAAAATACAGCCTAATTCTCTTAGAATACAAGGTGAATCTTACCAGCTTGTGTTCATGACTATAACAAGTCTACTACAGCAAGGCCTTCACTTCACACTACACAGATTCTGCACATGGGCATCCTGAAACAAAGTAAAGCCCCCCAGTCCACTAGATGTACCGGTGACAGCAATGATAGCAAAATTATACAGTCGCTACTCATGGAAATGAGCTCAGAAAGATAACAACAAAAATGCTCAGTTCTGAATGAGAGATTCTTTTTCATAAAAGAGATAGTTAAAAGTCAAAATTCCTAGTCCTGGTCCTCATGGTACACTTAGAAAATATCTTCAGAACAAAACCTAGGAAAAAAACCCACATCATTTTACTGGATACATGGATTAAGTAGAGATACTGAGTTTATGGGGCATTTTAATATTCTCCACTTGCATTTTAACTAGCTCCCCACAGTTCTTGGCTGACTTTTTTTCTTGACCTTGCTGGAAAGGCTAACGTCTTAATATAAAAGATAGTACTCTGAAAGAAGAGATGATTAAATTGTGTAACTGCTTAGCTTTCTTATATTAAAAACAGACCAATTGCTTCTAATCTTTACTTAGCTGGAGGTTTGCTGCTCCTTTTCAGATTGGAATAGGTATTTGCCAGGTATTTTTCCACTTCTATTTGACTAATGAAAGATACTCTCCACCCTATTTTTCTTATATCCTTGGATCATGTTTACAACAATCCTACTGTAATAGATAAAGGTAATTCTATGGTAAAGTCTCTATCTAATCACCTGAGGAAGACCAATAACTTGGTAAACTTTTGCATTCTTTATTTACTGTTTTAAAATCATGAGGTCATATTGATAACGCTCCTGTGCATGGCTTATGGCGTAAGTCCTAAAAGGCCTTAGGGATGTCTTTGCAATGAGAAGGGATAAACTCCATTCTGATCTTGATTAGTGCAGGACAGGTTAGAGAAGGTTTCAGATGAGACCTCAGGTAGTCTTCTGCCTCGAGTACAGACTAATGTACAGAAAGCGCAGTGCTTGTGTTTGGTTGTCTGCCTGCAAACTGAGATGATGCATGACTTTTTCACAAATAATATTCATAACAACTAATATAAAGAAAGGCTTTCTACTGATTTCAGCAGCCTCTGAACCTCTTCCTCAAAGGGACAAAAAGAAAAAAACTTGAATTAAATAACCTATGCTATTTGAATTTTTATGCATCTTTTGCTTTGTTTCAAAAAATCTGGGCCTTTCTAGCCTAAGTGTCACGGGGTTTCTTTAAGACTCAAATACCAATGGGGCACTGAAATGGGATCTAATCTAAATCACCCTTGTGGTTCTGCAAATGTTCACTTGTTTCTTTCACTGGGGTGAGGGGTCAAGCCTGGTTGGGCAACTCAAGTGGCTCTAGGTCTCACCACAGTCTCACAGCACCCACCCTTTGCTGCCCATCCTGGGTAGTGGTCCAAAGCTGCCCAGATCTTTAAGAATAATTTTACCTGCTGAGCTCGACATGTTTTCTCATTTTTCAGTATAGACCCCTGCATTCTGACCACACTTGGTTTTTAATATCTAATTTGCTGTATAGCACAAGCCTCATTGACTATTGTAACACAAGCCTGGTATTTAAGTAAATGAATTATTTCTAATGTGCAGCAAAGTATTTACAGAAAATATGAATTGTTTTATTTATCATTGCTAAAATGCTATTTGAGAAACCTAGCAGGCACTAATTTTAATTAGGAGGATATTATTCTAATGAAATACCTTAATAATAATATTTTTCTGGCATTAATAAAATGTATAAACTTTTATGTTTGGTCTTTGATCAGCCTTTTTCCTTTCAGATGTGCTCTTAAGCTACAATTTGGTGCCACGTATTAATTTGATTAATAACTCCGTACATTTTTGCACAGAAGAGTCAGCCCCTCTTATTCTGAAAAATGAGCTAATTTGAAAAAGTAAGAACTAATTTCAGACAAATGCTTCCACAAGATCATTTCATAGACTTGTGCATGCCTTATTTCCTATGACTTAACAATCATATTAACTTTTTGCTGGCTCCATTGCATTGCTGGACAGGCTGATAGGGTGATATAGAGATGTTGTTCATCTAAACCATAGTCCAGCAAAGCAGTTAAGCATATGAATACCTTAAGCATATCTATACTTCAGTAAAATCAATTCAACTGCTCACAGGTTCACTTTTATGTATGCTTTGTTGGACCAAAGCCACAATTACCAATCTGCTAGAGTGGAGCTTAGTAAAACATATTGAGAGGAACCATCTTTGTGAATAAAACTAACAGTTTGGGAATGTGTTAACTATAAAATGACTAGAGTTTAATTTTCTCTATAATTAAAGAGAAGGATATTAAAAAGTCTTTCCACAATTGGCTCAGTAGTAATTCTTGGCTGACACTTGAGAAGACTTAACACGTAAGTCACCTCCATGGCCTTTCTAGTGATGCCTACTCTCACGCTTTTGGTTTTTCTTCATTTTAACATCATTCTCTCTGTCTTTCTTGACGTCGCTTTCTACAATGGAGTTTGGCCTCTTTTCCAAGACCTCTTAACTGGTCTGTTGCTATTCACTCTCTCAGAAATGAGCTACAAATCTTGATGCTTTCACTCATGACAGTCTTTCAAGAGAGCACACAGCTTTTTCACTTGCTTACCTTGAGGAGGGATATGGCAAACCAGGATCTTCTAGTGCTTGATGGACCTTTTACTGTAGCATCTCTTCTTTCCCCTAATTTTCCAGATCTCCGTTTACTCCTGTTGATGTTTCTTGTATTATTCAGGGTCCACTGAACTTTTCTGAACTTCCAAGCTACCACACATGGAACCTGGTGCACTGAAACAAAAAGCAGGCTTAGCAGTAGCTGTCTAATGAACTACAGTGAAGGTAGGAGCTCTATGAAGATGACTGACATTTAAATTGGGTTGGAAAGTACTTATTCAAAATTTTTATAATTTGGGTTAACTTCCAATATGCTGGCTGAGATTAATTTTATATATTTTAAGTTACCTGCCAACTCCTAGTACTCAATATGCACTGAACACGTACTATGTTTTTCTTTTCCTATCCTTCTATTCCTCTATGAGCTGAATTCTAACTTAAACAGGCCTCTTGGATTTCACACAAATATGTAGTAATATAAAGTATGCAAATCAAGCGGCTTTAAAATATGCCAAGGAATGGTATGCAGAGAGGCCCTTGCTTATACTATTGCTATAACAACCAAGGTCAGCCAATTTTTGTTATTTGCCCCTTAGAGGGTCGGAAACAGAAAAAAAACATAGAAGGGTCACATCTGTGGGGAGGAACAGACAGGACAGATGACCCAAACCTGACCGACTGGGGTATTCCATCCCGTCTGCCCCATGCTCAGTATAAAAGCTGAGGGATCAAAGGGTCATGGTTCTTCCTGCGATGGCCGACGTCCAAAGAGGACTCTGTCTGTTCATCTGCCTTTGATCCCGATCCATGTGTCCCTGACTCCAGAGCTGGAATCCGGTTCCCATCCGTTGTTGAGTCCAGTCTGGGACTTGCCCAGTGCCTGCCAGTGACGGGACTGTCATCCTGGGAGCTTGATACGGTTTCGTATATATTCTATCTATTTCATTATTTTATTCTCTTTTTTTTTTTTTATTTTAATATTAATTCTTCATTAAAGTAGTTTAGTTCATTCTAAACTTTTGAATCTCTTTATCTCTTCCCCTCCTCTTTTGTGGCCGGGGGGAAGGGCCATCTGTTGGTCCAGTTGTGGTGATATCGGCTGAAACCACAACAAAAGGACAGCATTAAAATATATACTGAATGATAGATTAAATATTGAGTTTAAATCTGAGGGGATGGGAGAGAGCTCACACAGAAGTACCAATAATAATGCTGCTGTTCTCCAGCACACAAGCTGTAATGAAATTCTTTTCTTTGACTTTAATAGATCTCAGGTTTATATACAACTTTTTAACTAGACAATTACATCCTCCAGCCAACTGTACCTGTACTTGAGAAAGCATCTTAATGACTCCAAGACTGATAGGATCATTATATCACTCTCTATTACATTTCTGAACTAATCTACAGCTTAATTTTTCTTTGTTTTAGATGGTTGGGTAAGCATTAGAAATAATGTGAGCTGACAAGCCTCAGAAATAAATATGGACTTTCTTTTGTAAGAAACAAGTAGCAGGGCCACCCTGTCTGTCAAGGTCATCCCTTTTCTCTCATCTGTTGGTGTTCATTTCTCATTGTGCATGCTCACTTGAGTTAGAATAATATCATCAGTGTAGGTCACCTTTTGTGTCTGGGTAAGTAGAGGAAGTTGTGTTCTGGTTTCATGCTACAGTAGTGAGAGAGATGTTGACAAAGTTCAGAGTCTGGGTGACATTGAAACATGTGGTCCCTGTCTTCTGCATGCATGGTGAGATTCAAGCCTCTGGAGGTCTGGCTGCAGAGGCAAACCACAGTTTTGCTCCATAGAGCACTAAAAGATGTGACACTGTCATGATGTTATTTACAGACAGTATAAAATTTTAGAAGTAAAAGGGCTCCTTATGAACTGATATCAGCTTCTCTGCCTTTCACTGTGTGTATTGTCCTTTATAATAAAGTTGCCAGGTTTACAGATAAACTTTTCCTTCATAGAGAAGCCTGGAAAATTCTGTTAGCAGAAGAATGACCTTTCTTGGAGTTTATGTGACAGGGAAGTTTTAAATAAACTATACTTCACTGCACCATAGCTCATTATATTTCCATTTTATTTAATTTAAAGCAGTTTATAATCAATGAAGTTCCTTTGCTAGAGAGAAGAGGGCTTTAGCTTCAGAACAAATACACAGCATTTTTTTGTTTCCTTAATCTTGTGCTGTAGGTGGTCAGTTCCAACTGCTGCATTTGGCACTGGAGGTTTGTTTAATTTAAAGCCAAGTAAAACAGACAGAGAATAGCTAAATTGAAAAATTGAATTTAATACATTAAGAATTATGCTGCAGTTTATCAGTGTTCCCTAGAGTTATATATTATTGTTGTAATGTTCGTTGACACAGATTGATATGAGTGAGAAGTGATTAAAGAGCAGGTAGAAACATTAGGTTTGCTCTTGGGGAAAAAAGCCTGAAATAGGGTATAAAATTATTCTGGCTGAGGAATATGCTACTGCAGAGCTCTGGTGATGCAGTGGCAGTGGCTACATGTGGTTTGACAGCATCATGGCTGGTAGAATGATAATTCACAATTTGAGACAATAATATCTGGATTACAAGTGCCTCCTAGCTTTTTGTTTACTACTGACACAGATACTACTTAACTTCCTTTACAGGAAAAAGAGAGGAGAAGTATTTAGCTAAGGACAATAGTTTTTAATCTCATTGCATTACCTCAGGAATTTGGAAGTGCACAGTGACAGGGCCATATTCAGTGGCATCTAATTCAACACACGTGTTGGAGACGATGTCCCAGACAACCAAGCGCAAGGGCAAACAGAGCAGCGCAACAGCTGCCCTTATGACACAGGATCCCTCTAGGAAAGAAACTATTGCCTTTCTTGCAGCAGTGCACTGTCTACACTTTATGATGTGAACATTAATCAACTTAATGTTGTGTGGCAGTCTGTGGCTTTTCTTGCACTTAGGAAGTTCTACAGAACATTGCACAGTTTGTTCTGTGCTGGAAAAGCTGCAAAAGAGCTTTGGTCAACCAAGCCCTCGGACACATTTTAATGCCTTGGGATGGCCAGGCCCCAGCATGTAGAAAACTACATTGAACTATTGATTCCAGTGTAACCGTGGTGCTTCCAGGAGCTGAGAAACCAGCCCAGAGCTTCTGTCTTTTATGATCTTTCTTTAACTGTCATACTAGCACGTAGTCCTTTAACAGACAAGCGGGTCCTTTAACGGACAAGCAAGTCATTTAAGGTACTCCAGAAGGCGAGCTCTCATTGACCAATTCTTCTCAAAAAACATGAATTCTGGAATTGGATTTTTCACTGCTACATATCTGGCGCAATGACCCTATATTTGAAGAATTTGTGTACAACTAGGAAATTACCCTGCTTTCAAGAAACAACCCCAAACTGTCCTAGCCCACTGCAAAGGTCACAGCCTCAAGGGAATTTGCTCCCCTTGAGTCTACGAAACTGTAAGCCTAACGTGGGCTTAAGGGGGAAATGGAGAGTTGAGCCTGGCACCTATTTTAAGGAGAGTCTTGTGTGATTCATTCATGGAGTTTGGATATCTGTCTCACAGACATGTAACTGTTCAGAAAGTTCATAAACAAGAAAGAATAAGATGAAAATAAGCAAATTTGTCTGAGTTTACAATTGTTAACGAGTGTAACTTTTACCTCCAAATTTATTCCACCAGAAGAGGGGCACATTATTCTATATTTATATTCTCATCTTCTCAAACAGTACTTTACTTTAAAACCAAGGGTCTAAATCCACTTACTTTGAATTTGAAGAGAAAAATTCTCATTGTGTTCAATGAGAGGAAGATTAGGCCTAAGTTTGCTATTTCTCCTGAATCATTAAAATGTTAAATGCTATAAAGCTTTTATTTTTCTGACATCTAAGCAGAATAAGTAGATGAGCAAATGATTTTTCCAGTTAGCCTAGAAAAATGCTTGTCTTTTTAATATCTGAAAATGACAGCTTTGCAGTTCTATGCTCATTTTATCCATCATTTTTAATTGCAGAGTAGAGTGCTACTTTCTCAACTGCTTGTAACTTCTGTGGTCATTTATTCCACTGCAAAATGGGTGAAAAAGACACTACTCAATGGGTTTAATTCTTAAACTGCCTATATTGAATTTTTGCCTTTTGAAGGCCGGTATTTATTTTACTCTATCTGTGATGGATAGCTTTCTTAATGGTTATAGTGGCAACAAGAACAGAAAAGAGGAAAGTTATGGTGCTAGGTGAGACATCAAAAAATGTGAAAATTCATCATGCTTTTATTTTTCAGTGCTCCCTGCTCTTACCGATCTGCAAATTTTGGAGATATTTTTGCTCATCTCTATACTTCCCCTGAACTTCCTTCAATTTCTGTCATGCTGTGGTGGCTGCCCTGTGGAATCCACCAGGCAGTCTGCTGGTATTATCCCGTGGAAGTGTTGTATATAGAAATTGGTATTAAAAGATGAATTTTCATTCACTTTTGTTTTAAAAATAGGTAGTGCTATACAGAATTTATAGATAACAAGAATGTTAGGCTCATTTTAGACTTCTAGCTCTGTAGTGGGGGAAAAGTGTATTACAGCCATTGATGGATTATTTTTACCTGTTTGAAAGATGTGACTCTGAGAATTTACATACATTTATCAAGATCAGACACTGTTACATTATTGCTTGTTTTCCTGCTGCTTATGCTGCTGTTTTGTGGTGTGTGGTGTTTAGTGTTCAAATGCTGCAGCTTGGGCACTTCGCATCAATCTCAGTATATGGAGTACTCTTAATTCTCAAAATCAAGAAAAAGTTGTCTTATTTCCAAGTTACAGCTTATTTTAGAATTCTTTAATTATAGCTAAGACCTACTACTGCTCTCCTCTATGATACTAGGATATCACTCTCTGCTACCTTGTTCTTGCATAATCACAGAATCATAGAATATGCTGAGTTCAACTTCTGACTCCACAGTCAGTGCCACGTAAGGCACCTGAAAGTTAAATCATCTGTCTAAGACATAGACGTCTCTCTCTGCTCTCCCTCATGAGAAAGTTGTAGGCAGCAAACGAGTCTCCCCTTCTCTAAGCTGAACAAACCCAGTATCCTCAGCCACTCCTCCTAAGTCATGCTCGCTTGTCATTTCACCATCTTTGTTGCCTTCCTTTGGATGCATTCTAATATTTTTATATCCTTCCTATACTGCAAAGCCCAAACCTGCACACAGTACTCTAGGTGAAGCTCACCAATCCTGAGGATAGTGGGATAATAATTTCTTTTGACCGGTTAGCTATGCAGTGCTTAATGCTTCCAAGACACAGTTGGCCCTTTGACCACCAGGGCACATTGATGACTCATATTGAGCTTGTCATCAACCAAAACCTCCATATCCCTTTCAGCAGGGCTGCATTCCAGCCTCTTGTCCCTCAGTCTTTAAATCTATGGATTACACCATCCCAGGTGCAGAATCTGACATAATTGCTCTCAGTAGAAATTGCTTTCAGTAGAAATATGCAAAGAGTTTTACTGCATCAGTGATCTTCGTTATTTTACAACAACCAAATTATGGTGAAAATGTCTTCCCAAGCTGTAGGAAAATAGAAAATGATGCTTACAGTGAGCATTTTGTACCATAAATCCCAGCAAGCTGAGCTTACCTGTTAACTGCTGCCTCCAGATATTTATTGGCGAACTGGTATCGTCTCATTGTTATCCTGCCATTTAGAATTCCTTTCTTCAGGATAAACAGCATATTTCTTTGTTAGGCATTTCTAAAAAATAAATAAAGCAAAGATTTTTCTAATTTAGTCAATAGATATGATAATGTGTTTAAAATTCACTGTAAGTAATTTTGTTGATGTCAGTATTATGAGATACCCTATAAATGAAATTGTATTGTATTGTAAACCTGTCTAGTAGATCAATAGATATTATGAAGGACCAAACTGATTTATTTTACATTCCTCTTAAATGAAAATCTAAATGGTCTGAGACTGGATTATTTATTTGAAGTAATCTTTAAAGAGAGAATTTCTTTTTTGGTTAAAATTTAAAAAGAAAAAAGAATCAAGAAAGAGATATCTGAAAGAATAATAATTACTCTTTCTAAACCTTATAGGATGACAATTTTACTGTAGCAGAGGAAGTATGTGAGGGAAGAAGGGAGACTGATACTATGGCATGTTGTATATTCTTTGTATCAGGTACTAGATCTCCTTGTGTGTTAGGGCTAAGACACTGATGACTTCTGCTGTAAACAGACCAGGGTAGGAACTGAAACAGTAATGAGAAGATCACATTATTGGTTTTTTCCTAGCTGTGAAATGTGTGCATGTATACACATATGCTCATCATGTCTGAATTACAGCGCAGATTGGTTTTACCTAGCTTTTAGTCATTATTCTCATAACAGTCTATAAAATATTCCAGCTTATCATTCAGCTATTTAAAAAAGAGATTGAGCTAACATTTGGTAAATTAGACATGTAGCATAAAATACCTGAGCAATATGAAAAGATGACTTCTCTTTATACCTTCTTAGTTCCGAATGAATACACTGAAAAAAACCAAGAAACTTTTAACATTTTGTGCCAGAATTTGCTGTCCAATTAACTTCCAAGCAGGGTGGTGGTAGGGCATTTTGTACAATCATGTGAATTCTTTTGTTGGTTAAATATAGAATCCATTTGTCATGTCAGTTCAGGCACAGTGACAATTACACAGTCAAATAGCTACCTGCAATCTTTTAAATATCACACGTATGCCTTCCTATGCTATTAGCAGAGTTAACTAGATTAACTAGACAAAATATTTTAAACATATGAGCTATAGTTACTGCATTAGGCCAAAGGCTACCAGTAGATTAGATCCCAGATTGGCATGCTACTGGTACAGCTTGCTGAAATGAAAATTATGTTTTAAACAGCTCAGTTTTCAGATCTCTGAAATTGGGTGATTGCCCCATAAGTAATTTGAAATTACCTAAACCATTTGCAATTTATCTGTGCTTTGGCAGTACTATGATAAACATATGTGTTTTGGTAAGTCATGGGATACTATAGTTATTCTGAGATGTCTGTGGGCTTTCCATTTCAGAAAATCAGAGCCATTGTTTGTTGGCATTTGAACTGAACACACAGTACTAATTTGTACCAGGAGTGTATTGAATTTAGTTATTGAGTGAGAGGACACCTGGCTAGCTCTTACTTATGTATGTAAAAAGCAAAGTGCATTTGAAGAAAAATTTTCACATTTTATCTTTTTTCTGGAGTCACAAGTGAGTGAGAAAATTATTAGAGTCTCCACAGTCCTTCCTTAAGGGCACAAGTAACAGCAAACTGAATGCAGAAAGTCAAGTCTTAAGGTTATTGTATCCTGTTTTTCCAGTTTATTTTTATTTTCATGGTTATGAGCTAGGAATTGTCTTCAACTGCTCCTTCTCTTAGACATCCACATTGTTTCTCCAGGCTGTGCATAATCTGTTCTTTTTCTGTTGAGATATCTACGCTCGCATCTGCCATATGCTGTCATATCTCCATTGTCTCCTTCTTCCATTGCTGTAAGATCCCACCTCTGTTTTCACTAAATTTCAAAGTCCTCCCTCCAAATCATTTAAATAAACCTGTACTTAAAATATGTCCCTCAGCAATTTTGACTTGATCAGCCTGACCCCTCTGAACCATCAGTTACCCTTGTTTTATCAATCACATTCAGACTTCCTGTCTTTATCTTAAGATATCTTAACTCTTTCTTTCTGCAGTGTGTCTGCTTCTGTCTCCTAGATTGAGATTTATTAAAAGTATTTTGGTATTTTAAGATGAAAGCTCTGACAACCTAATTCCCACTGAGAATAACAGTCATCAGGAGGATCCACAGTCCAGCCTTGCAGAGTCATTCCAGGATCCTCTGTCCTGAATTCTCTCTTCTCTTCCTCTGTCAAGAGCCCAGTTCCTTGCCATTCATGCTGAGGGCAACAAAATTCAGTGCCATCCAGTCTGTGAGAAAGTTTGTGGCAATCTGGAACACTGCTCCACCAAATAGTCTTTTTCTTCCATTTCCAACACAATTTTTCAGAGTTTTCCAAATAACCATAACACAACTGAAGAGGTACAAATCATGAGAAAATTACAAAAACAGAGAAATGACAGCTACAGACCAATGATGGCAATTCCAACAAAGAGCTAGAGGTAAGTGGGGAAGCTTCCCATTTTATGCATTTTTCTCTGGCTTTGAAAATATTTCTGTGTCACTCTAGAATGAAAGCAAAGTGTGCAAAAGCTTTTGGCAAAAATGGGACTTCGGCAAAATGTTTGTGTTTGGCTCAAGAAACTTAGGTTTCCCATCTTTTGCACTCATCTTCCAGGAAGTCTATTCTAGAGTTTAGAAATAAACCTGTCAAAAATGTCACCAAAGTCAATATTTGTTTCTGAAATGTTCCAGTTTTGGCATAATGTCAGTTAGAACAGAAGAAATTTCACTAAAAAAAAATCTGATTAGTTCCATAAATGTCATTACATTCATTAAGTACACATGTAACAGTAGCTGAATTAGCTATCTGTTTACACACATCAAGTCATCTGAAATATTATGAAGTCAAACAGGGCTCAAGGGTTGGTTGAGTAACAGTGTCATAAATTTTAGTAACCCTTGATCTTAACTTGACACTCATTATAACACATGTCTGTGAACAAAACTAATTGAAACATCAGGAAACGGTCAGAACGTAAATGAAAAGCATTAGCAAAAAAAATGAAAGCATTTTAATTAGCTTAGAATAATGCATTAGGGTGACTGGCAAATTAAATTGCAATCCAAGTCCTGACACCCTTTTTTTATTTGAAACCATAACACAATTATTTATCAAATGAATTCACTTTCTGTTGATAGTAATGTTAGCTTTTAAGTAACGCATGAGCATCTAAAAATAGTTTAATAAAAGGCTTTAGGGGTCATCATTCCTAATCCTCTAAAGTTACTATAACCAGGAACACTTTCTCTGAATATGATTATACTGTATTCATGGCAAAATATATATTAATGAAATTAAAATTGGATTTTTTGAGGTTTTTGTACTTTATCTGATTTTTCTGCTATCTCAGGTAAAAGTAGTCAAGTCTTTTGAATCTCAGTCAGGCCCTGTGAAGAAATAATTGTGTTTCCCAGACGGTTACCATTGTATTCATATGTAACTCCTTCTATAGTTACCCTGTTTTCCACGCGTGTGGGTGTGTGCCCACACATTTATTCTGTCTGTCAGATCCTGTATCCATCCGTCTGAAGACTTACACACTTTGGTTGATATTTCTGTCTTTCATGACTGGGATAGCACGTCATGGTGCTATGAAAAATGCACAGAAATAAGATGGAAGGAGCTGGCAGGAACTTTTTACTCCAAACTCAGTATGTTCCATGCTCTCCATGTTTCTGAAACTAGTATCCTGTGAAGTACAACTGTATTTTGAAAGCTATATTGCAATACTGTTTATCTATTAGCACACACTATCAGAGAATCACTTCCTATGTACAGCTGTTCTTTCAAACATGCCAAGCACATTTCTTGTGTCTTAGATATCTTTTAAAATGTTCATTTCTAAAGCTACTCACTATGCTGAAAAATATTGCATATGAGAATAATAGATGCCATTTTCTAACGGACTGCAATTCTCTCACTTGCTCACGCACCGTGCTGTTAGAATACTGTTGAAGCCAGATGAGAGAACCTTTATTTTACTAGCAGAAAAAACAACTGACAAAGACTACTACTCCTTGGCTTGAATGACTTCCAAAAGACAGACAGTCCTTCCAAATAGCCTGTTCAAAAAGTAAGCCAAAATCAGACTGCTCAGGTATATGGTGAGAAAAACATTACCAGAAGTAGAAGGTAAATAAAGAGCTTATCGAAAATTTATTCACACAGGCATGCTTGAAGAATTGTTGTTCAATAACTGAAAAAAATATTTTATAATTGGTTACCTTAAACTGCATACAGCTCTATGTCTTATCTAGAATTAAAGCTGCTTTAAGTTGATTTAGCTTACTCTGCTCCTAAAGCAACATTAAACTACTTCTGTTCTCTTAAAATGTGAATAAATTGGTTTATCAATGTAGAGGTCTAATGCATTTTAACCAATTCGCTGTAAAATTTAGTTTAGACTTAGATAATCAATTGTTTGCTTCCTACATGGAAGAAATTCTGATCTCAAAAAGATTCAGACTGGAATCAGTCCATTTTGTTGCTACTAGAAAGGATCTTAGGATGAGTTAGAGGTGTCCAAATTAAAGCATCTAGTACAGGGGATCGAGCGAAAAGAGCCAATATGGTTCCTGTCCAGCCAGCCAGAAAACAGCACATCACCAGGAAAGTGCATGTTAATTTGGGCAGTTGAAATTCTATCTTCACAGAACAGTCCAGGAAAGCTCTGCTAGAGAAGGACTCTACAAGTACATCTAAACAAGCCTGTCCTACTCAGAGCTTCTGCCCCACTGGGGAAAACAGAATGAGTTAGTGTTGACTAGTGATGAGGATCTAGAACATGGCAGTATGGAAAAGACTGGACAGAGGTGACACAGAAAGAGAGCTGAAAATTTTTCTCATTATTACCCAATTCTGGTACAGAATATCTGAAGAGAAGAGCCCTCTATTTAGACAGGAAAAAGCCTTCCAGTGTAACAGTGCTATAGAGTCCTCGAGGGGAGTACTCTGGTGTACATACACAGTGTAGCTTTATACTGTTCTGGAGACTGACTTTGAGCATCCATGCTACTGTCAGGGCTCATACTAGAGGCTTTTGAGTGAGAGTTATCACATTGTGTTTGGGAAGATCAGGCCAGAATTACAAAGCTGATTCTCTGAAGAATCACTGAATGTCAGAAAGATGAGGTTGGAAGGGGCCCCTGGAGGTCATCTTGTCCAACCATTCTGCTCAAGGAGGGCCATCAAGAGCCAATGGCCCAGGACTATATCCAGATGGCTTTTGAATATCTCCAAGGTTAGAGACTCCACAGCCTCTATGGGCAACCTATGCCAGTCACTCTCACAGATGTTCCAGTTGGAACCACCTGTGTTTCAGTTTTTCCCCATTGCTTCTTGCCGTGTCACTGGGCACCATTATCTTTATACCCATCCTTCACATACTTGTATGCTTTGATAAGATCCCCTCAACCCTTTTCTTCTTCAATCTAAATGCTCCCAGCTCTCTCAGCCTTTCCTCATAGGAGAGATGCTCTAGTCCTTTGATCATCTTTGTGGCCCCTCTCTCCAGTATGTCCATATCTCTCTTCTATTGGACACAGTACTCCAATTATGGCCTCACTGGTGCTGAATGGAGGGGAAGGATCATCTCCCTTAACCTGCTGGCAACACTCCACTTAATGAGCCCAGGATAATATTTGCCTTCTTTACTTCAAGGTCAAATTGCTGTCTCATGGTCAACTTGCTGTTGACAAGGTCCCCTGAGTCCTTTTCTGCAAAGCTATTTTCCAGTCAGTTGGCCAATTTTGTGTACTCAGCACACTTGCAGAGTGTACACTCTGCCCCAAAACCTGGATCATTTTGTATTTTTCCCTTTGTGCAAGCTTAACCATACGTGCTATTTTTGGAAATTTTTTCAAACTGTATCCTAAATTTTGAGGTCCAAAATTCAGTTTAGAAAGTCACTTTATGCTGTGTCTGATACGTGGGTAAAGAAAAGATATAAAACAGGTGCTAAAGAGCTTATAGCTGCCATAACTTTCAACAGTATCATGTACACCTTTATAAATATTGGGGGAAAAAAAGTCACTTTTATATTACTACTACATACCGACTCAACTACTTAATTATAAGCATGCAGGTTTGACAGTTTCAGCTTGGATGTTTATCTGAAATAGATTAATTACTCTTGGTTATGCAAAATAGGCTCAGGTTATACAAAATACATGCAAAGATCTCAAAGAACATTTTCTATAGTTAGCATGTTTGCACTTCATTTCCAACTCAGGAGAGAAAAAAAAAAGCAAATGAAACAATTTAAAATAAATGTAAAGGATTTGTTTCACATCACAACATTTCTGTTCAGGTTTCAGTTTTGGTGAAACACTGGACTGACTAATTTTCCTTGCTTAGGCATACACACACTGTATACATAAATACTTCAAGCCTCAGATGTAAACACAAGTATATAGATCTTAACAGACCTGTCAAGTCTTAAGCACTGTGCATAAAAGCTGAGGTGCCTTACCTGACATTCCACTGCTCTGGATGCCTTCAGCTCACACTGCTGGGAAGATGCTGCCTCCCTCCTGCTCCCAGACCACGCGTGCTGGGCACAGCTCCTCACGTACGGAGAGCTGGCTCTTCGGCTGCAGTCGTCTGTCAAACTCTTGTGACACCAGGAATCTCATGTGCTGGGATCAAAAGGTGCACAGAGATGGTTAGAGATCTGTGCCACTGACACCACATCTTCTGTCTCCAAGAAAATACACCAATAGCCCCCAAGAACTCTACAGAACCTAACTTCATAGAGAAATAATGAGTTAGCACAATTGAACAATCTTTCTGAAGCATATTATAATATATAGTATACACCTCTGTCCCTACCTCAGTCTAAACTAATCATGTGCTCTTACAATTTAAATCTAACCTGAGCTAGTGTTCACAACATTTTGCAGAACACAGTATAAGGTTCATTTAAGTGATGTCATAATGAAAATAGAGCAACCAAAATCTTCAGAAATCTAGCAAAGATAAAAGAGAACATTTGCCATTTGAATCACTGTTGATATAGTTTCTACGCAAACAGCTTCTTTATATATTAGGGATATGATATTCTGTGTCATGCAATTAATCATTAAGCAAGTTTATTGGGGACAATTATGTGAAGGCCTTAATATCAGTGCAGCTCTAGTAGGTGCAGGGCTTGGCTCAGTCCAGGTTTAGGTCTTTACTCTGGGTCTGTTGGAGTATAAAGAGTAACTACATAAGAAAGATAATTTTTACTTTCCCTATTCACTTCATTTTGCAGAAGCTTAAGGGAAACTAGATGAATCAGGCCCTTTGTGTAATATATAATTTACACGATCTCTAGTGAAGGATATTTTCATGTAGGAACTTAGATCAGCTTAAAACTTATTAATGTAGTTCCTGTTGAGACATGGTAGGATTCCAATTGCCCACCTGAAAAAACATACCACGTTATGATTTCTACGGTGTTTCTGTCCTGCAAGAGGCTTTTCTATTAGTGAAAGCGCAGATACATCTGAGTACATAATAAACAGGAAATAAACTACCCCACCCCTTTTCAAAAGAACTAATCAAGTACTACAGGGAAAATAAATGTAAATAAAATATTGATTAAGAACTAAAAGGATTTTAATTATATTACTTTCAGAAATAATTTAATTTAACCTAAACAGACAACTGGGAGCAGATACTTTGCCTTAGCATTTTTCAAATCACTAATTAAAATTTCCAGGAGGAAATTCAAGTTTAGTGTCTGGATTTTAGAGATAAATAATGTTTATTTCTTTTTGTTATAAGCTTATGAAGGTTTATTTAGTGCCAAAATGTAATATTGCATGTGCATTCTTTTTAAAATAATCAGATAACATGGATGCTCTATGTAATACACTGTGGGTATAAAGAAGTTTTTAATTAAGAAAACTTGAACATTGAAGTGTGATTCTAGTTATGTCTGTCACGTGTTCTCATATAGATTTGTATCTACTTTGTTTGTGGAATTGTTTGGAGACAACTGTTTTTTTGGTAAGATAAAAGCAATTATAGTGATGGAGCACTCTTTGTGTGCCCATTGCCACTGAGTGGCAATTTTACTATTTAATGGAAAAGAGATGAATTCAGTTCTTTATTCTCTGCCATAAAACTTGATCCAAAACCCAGTGAGGTAAATGGAAATCGCTCATCACTCTGTAATTTTGTATAGTGCGTGGCTTTGAATGCTGTTTCCTACTTTACACCACATTATCCAGCAGACTTCTGACTACATGCATATACTCTACCAAACAGAATAGGACTGCAATAATAAAGATACACAACATTTCAAAGACTTATCTGAAGAAACTTACACAACTATAAATTCTTTACAGATTCTTTATGTAATTGAATTAAATTTCTTTCAACCCCAGTGAATGTAGAGGGGAAGAAAAGTGTGAAATTTAATGGAAAGGATGCTATTAAGCTCCCTGTCCAAACACTTAAGACAAAATAGGAGAAGAATGAACGTACCCCCACTGATATCCCTTAACTCTAGATTCGGTAGCAAAGAGTCCTTTTTATGCCGACACAGGGTTGTCAGCAGAAACATGTGATGGGGTGATGAGAAGATGCATCCTTAAGAAAACTGTGACATAGAGGGCTCATCTGTCCCCTTACCCAGTGCTTCCTCTCTTGGGTTGTTATAAGTAGATGGGTCATAGAGCATGTGACATACAATTTATATGCATTTGAAACTGTTTCCCTAAAAATTGTGCAATCCATGTCTATGCTGCAAGTGTCGGTTTGCCTATCCAGTCTTCCTTGCAAATTCTGGATCAGTTTCAAGCAACTTCTCAACCAACTTGACAAGCAGGGGGGACTCAAAATATGAAATTCAGAAAAACAGACAGAAACCCTGTTAGAGCCCCTAATAACCTGCAGTGCTGTTTCACAAATTGCTAGATACCAGAAAGAAAGCACAGGAATGCTGTGACGCTCGCAGCCTATGGAAAGCTTTGGCCTGGGCTCACTTTCCTAGACACCAGAAACACACATCTGAGGAAACCAGGCTTCAACACTGTGTTGCTTATGCAACCCATACGATCCTCCACACATGGTACTTTTGCAAGAGTAAGCTCTAAAAGCGAAACTCTTTTTCTCTGTGTAGGCATGAAAGATGCAAATGTGGTGGGTCAGAATCTGAAGGCTATCTCCTCACCTGCTCTTTCTACAACTTAATGCTTCCTTCAGACTTTGAAGTGGCTGTATTTAAGCTCCTTTGTGTACATACAGAGTGATCTCTCAGGATGACAGGTAATATGAAACTAAAGACTGCAACAGTAATCGGAATGTCTGAAGGAACAAGGGAAGAAGGAAAGAAGCACTAGTATTCACAGATAATCGTTCCAGCTGGTTACACCTACATGAAAAATGAGTGCTTGTGTATTTACACAAATAAGCATGTGTGCAAAGACTGTGGAGACGGGGGCAACGCACTAACTGTTTGTTGTGTACACTGAGTGCACACAAGGCTACAATGCAAGTAAATGAGAACGACATTGAGCCACGATGTGTGAGCCAAAGGGAGTGTGTGAACTGCTGGATGTTCAGTGATGTATGGAGAGTCAGATCTTACATTTACAAATGCAAGGTGTATATTCTGTTTTCATTTCTTGACCCTGTCTGTAAAGCAAACCTTTCACCATCCAGGAAAGAGGAAGAAGAGACAGAATGCTGATAGGTAAACTGCACTTGCCTGCCTTTGTTGGGCCCCAGGCTATACTTTCAACCTTCATCTGTCTCCCTTTGTCTAATCTTTACATATACAGAACACATAATTTACACATAATAATGTATAAGGTATTCCTCATACTTCATTACATGAAGTTTTATTAAGAAAAGTTTAATTCCTGTAAGTCATATCCATTAATACAAAGTGAATGTTGCTGAAAACTGATTTTAGCTCATTTCAGTACCTTGATTTGCATTAAAATGGCAGGCTACTGGGTACTTAAATATTTCTCTTGACCCGGAAAACAGTACAACAGTTTCCACCCTCATATTAAAAGTGGTTTGGTCATTTAGAACTTTTTTTTTTTTTTTCAAATACTTCAGTTTCTCAACTGTAAGAACTAGCAAATAATGCCCTATTAGGTGTTGTGAGGATGAATAAATATGAAATGGTGAGATGTTTTGATCCTACACTGATCAGGCCACATGAGCAGGTCAGACAGATGGTGATTCTCATAACGGAAGACCATGGTACTTCAAGGAGTGCTCAGTAGTAAATAATACAGTGTGCTTCCCATCTTGGCCTTTGAACCTGATCAACTGTAGCATGAAGACCCTTTGGGGGACTTGAAGCATATATTCCTTACTCAAGCAAATGAACTTCAGACATTATTATCATACTCCCAGGGACAATCTATGACTAACATAGTCATACAATTGATTTTTGATCTGCCTGAATGAAAAATAGAAGTGATCTAAATACTGGTATATTCTACTCTAAAGGAAGTGTGCATGGGATCGAAAATGTACCTCTAAGGAATAACAAAATAAAAAATCCACAGTGCTATCTGTGTGCAAAGTTCATGGAACATCATAATTTATAATAACCACTGTATTTATTAGACTACTCCATTTATTTTGTGATTCTGACTAACCTTCATTTTTTATTTAATTCCCAATTCTGTCCCTCTATTAGCAGGGGTTGATGAATATGTATGTTTGCAATTTCCTTTGAAATCTGCACAGAAAGCAGGACTGAACCCTAAATTCAAATAAATCACTGCAAAGACTCAGTGGCTGACAGGTATGTCTTGCCTGAATGTGCCTGGTTGCTTGCACATGTGTCTACTCATTCATATGGCTGACAAGGTATCATCTTAACAGCACAAAAAAGACAGCCTTTAAACTGTGACCCAGATGTGGACTTTCCATAGAGGCATTTAATTTCATGAGCTTCTTTTAAGGTGAAGAGAGCATGGCTGCCAAAAGAAGAAGGACGAAAATAATGTGGATGACATCAGTGGGGAATATATATCCCATATTTCCTGAGGTTTTTTGTAAGATTTTAGTTCTTTGCTGTGAGTTGGATGAATCCTACAACAAAAGTTTTCATCAGAATAGCTTTTTTGTTAAAACCATTTTCCTCCACCATTTCAACTGTTTGGCTGTTTTCTCTCTAAAAGTGGCTTAATGATTGATTCCGTTGTGTCAAAGCAGCAAAAGCAAACCAGACTTACGAGGGAGAGCATAATAAGCACATTGGTGAGGTAGATTTTTATCCAAACGTTACCATATTTTTCTTTTTCTGTGTAACATGCTTTTTTCTTTTCTCTCTCAACAGCTTTGTCTCCCTCTCAGCTTGGCCTTACAGCTGAGGTGACTTAAGCACAGGAACAAACATTACTATCACATCCAGTATCCAGTTAGTCACAAGCTACACCACTATGCATTTTCATTCACGATTCTGAGACAAGGAGGTGAATTACACCCAGACTTCAGATTCTTTTAACTGGGAGAAGTGTACAATTGCCAAGTGTACACCTGGGAATACCAATAGCACCATTTCCCAGTCTTTCTGCGGCTGAACAGTTCCTGAGAAAATTCTCATGTTTCATGCCTCACAGGTAAGGTGATAGGTAGGTACCCATGAG